GTGTGTTTTGGACCATTTTCTTTTAATGTTAAATGTTTGATGGCTCCTGTCGGGTTATGTGGTCCCCACATTTGTGTGTGAGCTTCAGAAGGAGTACACTTTTAAAGAATTATTAAATCCTATATCCAGATGAGGTATATTAGAATAAAATTAAATCAGTGAAATCCCCTAAGGGATCAACAGGAGCGTGTCTAGGATGTACGTTGTGCATGCGCTTGGACCTGTTACCCTTTTTCCCCCTTCACTCTGGGGCCTCCTGTGGCCAGGAGCCAGGGGATGCACCCTCTGCTGGTTTGTAGGGAGGGGTAGTTACTCTTTCACTCTGACCTTACAAGGCTTACCCATAGTGCTTTGTGACTAGGGTTTGCCAGTGGCTAGCTAGAATGCTGCTCTTGGAATGGTGCTCTGCTGGGAATTAAATTGGCAATGTTAAAAACCATATTTAAATTCTTTCCATTTTTTTGGAAGCAAAAACCACAGTAAATGTTACTTTTAATGCCGTAAACCTGAGCTGTCCAGTACAATAGCCACTAGCCTCGTGTGGCTGTGGAGCACTTGAAGTGTGGCTAGTCTGAATTGAGAGGTGCTGTAAGTGGAAAACACAAACCAGACTTTGAAGACTTACTGCGAATAAAAGAATGTAAAATTTTGCATCAATATTGTTTATATTGATTTTACATTGTAATGGTACTGTTTTGGAAATATTGGGTTAGATAAAATGTCATATTGAAATTAGTTGCACATGCTTCTATTTACTTTTTATGTATTTATTTTTTTTTTGAGACAGAGTCTCACTTTGTTGTCCAGGCTAGAGTGAGTGCCGTGGCATTAGCCTAGCTCACAGCAACCTCAAACTCCTGGGCTCAAGCGATCCTGCTGCCTCAGCCTCCCAAGTAGCTGGGACTACAGGCATGCGCCACCATGCCCGGCTAATTTTTTTTTTTTTAATATATATTAGTTGGCCAATTAATTTCTTTCTATTTATAGTAGAGACCGGGTCTTGCTCTTGCTCAGGCTGGTTTCGAACTCCTGACCTTGAGCAATCCGCCCGCCTCAGCCTCCCAGAGAGCTAGGATTACAGGCCTGAGCCACCATGCCCGGCTTATTTACTTTTTAAAATGTGACTACTAGAAAGTTTAAAATTATATGAGCAGCTCACATAATATTTCTATGGGGCAGTGTGGCTGTACTGTTAAAATCAGAATTATTCAAACTGATAATAACATCTAGCATTTGTAGGGCACTTACAGTGTCCTAGGCTCTTTTCATATATGATCTAATTTTGAATCTGAGTTTTGAATAGAATAAAACAAATAAAAATTGATAAACCTCATTTTACACCATTTCTCACACTAGTTTTTGTGTGTGTGTGTGTGTACTTTCAGAGTTTCTTTATGCAGTGCATTACCTTGTGCGATTCTTACGTCAACGCTATGAAATAGATACTATGACCATCTCCATTTAACACATAGGGAAACAAAGACTTAGCTTAAATAACTAGCACAGGGTCCCTTACTAATAAATGGCAAGGCTAGGTTATGACTCCAGGGCTGTCTGAGAGCAGAACCGACATGAGCCAATCAAATATTTTGGTAAATAGGGAAAAATGATGCCACTAAATGTCTCCGTGACCCTAGGAATGTCTCAATCACTTTCCTTATTAAGGGATTGGACTCTAAATGCTGTTGAAGATCGCTTCGAGCTCTTTGGGTGTAGGAGAGCCCATTTTGCTTTTCCCATTTTGATTCTGTTTTCCCTCTTGATTCTTATGTTGTGTCTACCTGGTAAAGTTTGGGTAAAGAGGACCAAGGGAGTAGACTGCACTATGAAAAAGGAGGATGGAGGCATATTTAGTAGGGGAGGAAGAAGAGGCAGGAGAAGGAAGAGGAGGAAGTTCAGAATTGATGGAAAATCCTGAATGGGGTTGACGCTTACGTGGAAGTGTGAACACCACATGGGGACAGTCATATAGAGGAGAGCCCAGAGCCCTGATGCAAACCTGCCCTCGGCCTCAGCCAAGATCTGCCTTTTATCTTGAAATATGAAAACTATGGAGAGGGTCTAGGAAGGCAATGAAAATGCACAAAGATTTGGAAAAAGACTTTCCAAGGAAGGACCACAGAGAGGCAGGGTGGAGTCTGTATAGCCTAATCAGGTGAATGGGCTTGCAGGCTGATTGAGTTCAAGGCTAGACTTGGCCCCTTACCAGCTGTGTGATATTAAGCAAGTTCTCAGCCTCCCTAAGCTGCGCTGCCCTCGTCTGTATAATGGGGTAGCTGTGCTCTTGGCTGTGGTGGGGATTGAGTGATACATAGCATAAACAGCTGCCTCATTTCGAATGTTTACGGTTTGCCAGGCCCTCCGCCTGAGTACAAATGCACCAAAGCAGCGTCGGGTCTCAGCCCGGGACTGCCAACTACTAATACGATGTGTGGGGGCGCTTGTCATGATCTCAGTGGCATCTTGAAAGATCATTTGGCTGCATTCTCATCATGCTTTGCGGCTTTGGTGAAGTTACTTAACTTTTCTGAGTCTCAAGTGACTCATTTATAAAGTAAGATGATTGAATTAGATGATCTGTAAGGCTTTTTCCAGCTCTAAAATGCTGTGAAATTCTGGACATAGGATTTAGAAGGCTACTGGGAGATACTAAAATATGAACTTCAAATATATGTGTATGTGATTATTATAAGTTTGAGAGATGATGATCAGCTGTTCTCTTTTGACTGAGGACAGAACATGAGGCAACACACTTTAATTGTTTTAGATTAGGCATTTGGAAGACTTTTCTGACTTGGGAGAAAAAGTAATATGTCATCAGAGCAGGCCGTGGAGCTGCACACTCTGAACTCATTAAAGCAGACAGCTGAATATTTTTCTGACATTCAACTTAAATGTAACTTCATCACACAGGCCTTCCCTGCTCCCTGCTCTAAAGTGGACTGCCCCACTCCTGCCAACTTTATTCTTTCACATTTCATCCTGCTGTTTTCTACCATAGCACTTATGACATTTCATAATTGTGTCTTTGTCTTGTATTTAGCATTTAATGTCTGTCTCTTTAGACTGTAAACTGCCTGAAGGCAGGGCCTGTCTTTATTTGGTTCACCTCCTGTGTACCCAGTGCCAGCACAGCAATTGTCACTGGCAGGTGCTCAGTAAATATTTGTTGAATGAACAGGTGGATGGATGTGTTTCACAGGTGTTTGGTTTAGTGGTAGTGCTCCTTGATGAGAGGTGGATCCTTTGCTCTCCTTTTTTGGTAAGAAAAATCCAAAGACTCTGACTCTCAAGATACTTTAGATATTGTCTCTCCTTCCCACCTTCCTTCTCTGGGGCCGGTCACCCACGGGTCTGCATGTCTTCAGTTTTAAGGGGATGCCTGAGTACCCCTTCCTCGTGGATTGGTTAGCCTACATCTGTTTCTGGTGGAAGGAATGGAAAGTGTAGGTAGAGTTCTGTTGGGGTCAGGATAGAGCCCAGTGGAGCAGGGCTTGCCGGAGCTGCTTGTTTCCATTTGCCCTTCCAGATCTGCTCTTTGTCCTTCTCGATGCTTCTCTGTGTCCCAGAAGCTGACCTTGGTGGGCTGCAGCTCCTTTGCCCTCTGGATTCCAGTTAAGGTTGGCCACCTGGAGAGGACATGGCAGGGAGATGGAGCATGGGAGGAGAGAGCAGTGGGGCTGTTGGTTCCCTTGGTTGCCTGTCCTCTGGGCTCTGGTGCTGCAAGCTTGGACCCCAGGGCTCTGCTGTGGCCAGCGTCTCGCAAACACTCTCCCTCTTTCCCTCTAGGAATAGCAGTGGCGATGGCTTCCCACCCATCCCTCCCCTGGGCGTTTCACCATACCTTGTTGGTTCCCTTACTTCCCCACCCCTGCCTCTGTAAATAGTCCTCAACTCAGGTCTCAATTCCCTCATAACGGTGGGCCATTTGTTTCCCTGACTCTTTCCAGGGCACCATGACATCATAATTCTTGCACTCTCCTTACCTGGTGCAGTGGAAGGGACCATATGTCTGGGTGCGGCAGTGGGGGCAGGTGCGAGGTACAGGCTCAGAGGAGAGGCTGGAGAAATATTTTGTAGTAAATCAGAATAGATCACTGTACCTTAGGTTTCTGTTTTTAATTTGAAAAGATGACCCTCTGTTCAGGTTAGGTGTTTGGGATATCTTGAGGAGGGGTCAGCTCCTCTCTCTGGTCTCTCACTGGCAGGGCTGGCTCTGGCCGCCACTACTCAGCTGGCCCAATGACCTCAAGCCCCAGGTAGCCGATCAAACTCCCAATGTCTTCAGAAAACCTTCCTGGTACGTGGGCCCTGTGGTGCCCACTCTGCCGCTTCCGGGCCTGTTAGGCATTTGCTGGGCCCCTTCCCTTCCTTTGGCTTCTGAGGCCTCTACCTCTGTTTGAGTCGATGAGAACAGCCTCTCGGAGGCTGAAATAGCCTTTCATGGAGCAAAGCAGAGCTGGGCAGCCGGCACGGCCGAGGGGAGGTCACGGCGTTGCCAGATGAGCTGGAATAGAGGGAGGGAATGAGAGTGATCGAGGCCAATGTCGGTGTGCTGCTTGAGAGCTTCCAAAATGCTTCCGTGCACATGGACGCATTTCTGCCCCACAAAACCACCTGTGAAGTTGGGCGTTGTTATCCCCACTTTGCAGGTGCAGACACAGGCTCCACGTTCCTCGACACCTTGCCCGATGGAACACGGCTGGGGAGGCAGAAGCAAGACTGTCTCTCAGGCTGTGTGAACCCCCATCAACCAGCACCTTTCTGCTCTGCCTCAGCTTCCCCTGAGGGTGCAGGCAGGGTTGGAACCTGGCTCTGGGATTAGGAAATGGAGGTGGAAAAGCTCCACTCAGCCCCAGCTTTCCCGTCCCACCAGGAGGGGAGAGCACAGGCTATCTTGAGTCCCACCTGGGAGCTCTGGTCCCTGCGTGCCCTCCTCACTCGAGGACCGTCCTGCCTGCGTCTAGTGGCCTGACCTGCCCTTCTGTCTTTGCTTGTAGAAGTGGAGCTGCCCCTGAAGAAGGATGGCTTCACCTCGGAAAGCACCACGCTGGAGGCCTTGCTCCGCGGTGAGGGGGTGGAGAAGAAGGTGGATGCCCGAGAGGAGGAGAGCATGCAGGAGATACAGGTATTTCTGCGCCTGCTGGAATGGGGGGACGCCGCAGTGCATCACAGTCCCTGTGCTGCTTCCAGAACTCCAGCACCAGCTCCGCATCCTCCTCCCAGGGGCAAGGGCTGCATCTCAAACTGCCTTGTTTTTGTTGCTGGGAGGCTCACAAATTCTTTTCTGATTCAAGGTGTCCCCCAGAAGAAGTCATTTGATCTCCCTACTTATCCATTCAAAGTGCTTGTTTACTGAGCCTCCTGAGCACCAGGTACTGTGCTAGGTCCTGGGGACACATGAACAAAACGGACTGAGTCCTCACCCCCCTGGAACGGACGATCCGTTGTGCAGACTGGAAACGTGGGGCGTCTGCTGCAGCCGGTGCCTTCGAGACCCGGCTCAGCCGTCTCTCCCTGTACACGCCCAGCCTGGCCTGGCTCACAGACCGCGCGGTCCTCTCCTGGCGGCGCCCACTCCCCCCTCAGCCCCTGCAGCCGCCACCCTCCAGGCGGGGATGGATGCGCTGTCTCTGGGTGGCCACCACTTCTCAAGCCCTCACTGCACAGGTGATAACAGGGTGCACCTGCCATTCCTCATTTGTTACTTGTCTTGAATCCCCATCGTCTAATACAATGCTTGGCGCAGAGTATTGTAATAATATTAATTAATGCTAACATTAAATAACAGTTTTAATAATTCAATAGAATTAAATTATTAAAATGAAATATTTATATTATATATTACATTTTTATATTTTATGTTATATACATTATGTAGTCATTAATTTTATATTCAATTTAACATTTAATAATTAATACATTAATTTATTAACATTTAATGGTAATATTGCAATCCTTTTTTGGTTTGCTTGCTAAGTACCACCAGTCTGTGAGTCCCATCAAGTCAGGGACTGTGCCGTTGTGTTCACCACCACCTCCGCGGGCTTTGCACACGCCCTGCACAGAGATGGGTCTCAATGAGGGAGTCGAATGAATCAGGGAATGTGGCCTCCTTCTGTGCCGTTCCTGTGTTAGAGGAATGCTCACGTCTTTCTGTTTAGTTGCCACAATATGGCTGATACTCGTTCCCTCCCCTGCCTTCCATGAGCTACAGCCCCGGTAAGGATCCTTGTTAGCTGTCACCTTTGCTTGTCAAGAGGCCTTGGAGCCTTCTTTGACTCCTGTCTGTCTCTCACATCCAACGTCCATTCATCAGGAATCTTGTTCACCGTGCCTTTGACATCAATCCAGTTTTCCCCATGTCCACTGCCGCTGCCCTGTCCAAGAAGTTCTCATCTCCTGTGTGAACTGCGATTGCCTTCTCAGCGGTCTCCTTGCTAACACCTGAGAGGGAGCCCCCATACGTGAACAGCTTCCCCCATTATCAATATCACCCACCAGAGTGGTACATTTGTTACAATCCATGGACCTACAGGGACACATCATTTCCACCCTGAGTCCATAGTTTCCGTTAGGGTTCAGTCTCGGTGCTGTACGGTTCTGTGGGTTTGGACAGATGTACAGTGGCACGTATCCACTGTCACAGTGTCATACACAAGAGTTTCACTGGCCTAAAAATCCCCAGTGCTCTGCCGTTCATCTCTCCCTCTCCTCTAACCTTTGGCCACCACTCATCTTTTTACTGCATTTATGCTTCCTCTCCTTCTTTTCAAGGCTTGATAGCTCATTTTAACACCCGATAATATTCCATCGTCTGGATGTACCATAGAAGAGGGAGCTCTTTAAAATTTAAGTCAGTTCTTGTCATTCCTGTGCTCAAAACCCTGCTGTGGCCCTGACATCTCAGAGTGAAAGGCAGGGCCTCTCGCCAGTCTCTGACTCGGCTCTGTCCTCTTCTCCTGGCTCGGTCTGCTCTGGGTACCCGGACCTCTTTTTTTCTGCTTGTAGGACACGCCAGGCACATCCCAGACTTCGGGCCTTTGCTCTGGTGTTTCCTCTGCCTGGAGCATCCTTCCCCAGACGTCCACATGGCTCTCACCCTCTTCAGGTGCTTGCTTCCGTCCCACAGCCTGGGCCCCGCCTGCCCTGCCCTCCTGAGTCCCTCACTTCACTTTTTTTCCTTCTCCTCTGTGCTCTTCTCACCATCTCATGTACCTTGTAATTTACTTCTTATTGTTCATTGTCTGTTTTCTTCCAGTAGAGCGTAAACTCTTCAAGGACAGGAGCTTTTGTCTACTTTGCTCACTGGTACATCTCAAGCACGCAAACAGTGCTTGGCGCATTCTAGGTGTGCAATAAAGATGTGCCGGGTGAGTGCATGGTGAACCGAGTCCCATGGGTTGTCCCAGTTCTTCCCCCCTCTGCCACGTCCTACTTTGCTAGCCGACCTTTTGTTCTGGAGCTAAAAACCTTTTGTTTCCTACCAAATAAATCCGATATGATGAGCGTGACCTTCTTGGGCCTCCCCTCTCTGCTCCTAACCTAGTTTTCAGGCTTATTTTCTACTACTCCTTCACTCCCTCTGTTCTTCAGCCTTCTTCCCTCTGTACCTTTGGTCATGCTGTGCCCTATATCTGGCATGCCTTTTCTTCCATCTCCACGTGTACAAATTCCACTCATCTTTTAGGCTCAGCCCTAGTGCCACCTTCCCTATCACGCCAGGAGGATCTCTTCTTGCCTCTGGCGTTTTAAGATACCTACTGCTTTCTTGTGTATGTGTGTGTGTATTTGCTATTCTCATGTATTAATCCCCATTTTTGGACTTTCAGATTTTGTAGTCAAGGTCTGTTATTTATGTGTTACCTGCTAGAGTTTTTTTGTTTTTTTTTTTTCTCAGTTTGTGTAATTTAACAGAATCAATGAATAGGACAGCCCCTTGATACTCTAGGGACATGTAGCCCTTTCTCTTTAAAGCTGGTGGTGGGTTCCAGTTCTTCTCTTGCAGCACTGGGCCAGTGTGTGGGTCATCACTGTCCCTTCATCATCGTTACCATCATCCCCAATGTAAACTGAATGCCTGCTATGTGCAGAGCATGGGGCTCCTATCTACTGTGCCGGAAACCGAAACCAGCACCATGAGTCAAATGAATTTACATGTTTGTATTGCTTTACATTATTAAAATGCAGATGTAGTAAATGGACTATATTTTTTCATTTGTTCATTCATTCATTCATTTGATCAAAGTTTAATGAGGGCCTCCTCTGAGCTGGCACTGTGCTGGGGACACAGAGACCAAGAGATACTTGTCCCCTCTATTCATATTCTAATGTGGCATACAGATAGAAAACAATGAAAACAAATAAAATAATTGCATTTTAGGACAAATGCAATGAGAAGGACAAATAGTATGGAGATTATATAAGAGGAGGGACAGATTCTAGGTAGTGTCCTGAGGGAGACAAGGGGTTTAACCTCAGTCCTATGGGATGAGAGGAGGCAGCAAAGGGAGACTCCCAGGCAGGAGCTTTCTGGGTAGAGGAACGGTGTGCTCAGTGAAGGCTCTAGATGGGTCAGAGCCCATCGTGTCGAGAGAACAGAAGACGGCCTGTGTGGCCAGAGTACAGTACCAGGGACAGAAGAGCCCAGGATGGAGTTGCACAGGTGAGCGGGAACCAGGCCACCTAGGTCCCACAGGAAGTGGAAGTGGCTTTTGGTTTTGTATGAAATGAAAAAGGAAGCCATTTGGAAGATTTTGATCAGGGCAGTGAATTTATGTTTCACAAAGATCCCTTAGGCTGCTGCATGGAGAGGCGATTGGATGCAGAGGGCTAGCAGCGGAAGGAGGGATAGCAGGAGATTTTTGCAGTGTTCCAGGCCAGAGATAATGTAGTCTTCAAAAAGGACTTTTTTTTTTTTTTTTAAAACACAGCCACAGACTGCTGTTATCATGCCCATAAAGACTATTTAAGAGTAACAGGGAGAAAAGTTATTTTAAAATGTGTTTATTTTCCAGATAATGTTCTTGGACAGGGAGTGCAAGTCTGTTGGTGGGGGGTCAGCTAACACTATAGTTGGACCCTTCCTGCCTCTCACTCCTAACACAGGACTCCCCCTCTGCTTTCAGAGCCCTGAAATGAGTTTGCTTGCTAGGAACTCCTCTCCTCCTGAGTTATACAGAGAGGCTTCTGGGGTCAAGGCCCCATCACAGGAAATGCAAACACACTGGGCCAGCTGCCATCCCATGTGAGGCCTGGGCAGAGGCTCTAGAGTCACAGGGAAGCTGCTTAAGTCTGTTCTCCCTTCAGTAGACTGCAAAGCTTTTTAGTTCTCACTTCTTTTATTTATTTTCTTGTCATTTCAGAGGGTTTTAGAAAATGATGAAAATGTAGAAGAAGGGAACGAGGAAGAAGATTTAGAAGAGGATATTCCCAAGCGGAAGAACAGGACAAGAGGACGGGTAAGTTGGGGGCACCATGAGGAAGGGGAGAGGCCAGGGAGGCTGGGGCCAGCAAACAGTTGATCCCCACTGCAGCTAGATAAAGATTGCAGGCCTGGTCTGTCTTGGAGACCGCTCAGACAGGAAAGCTCCAGGAGAGCTCTGGGCCAGGTCATGGCCTAGAAGAGTTTAGAGCTGGCAAAGGGCAGACAGGGAGGCAGAAGGTGGCCTGAGGGGTTGGTGAGGTCTGCAGAGGGTTGAGGGCTGGGCTCAGGGTGAGGGTGCAGGAGATATCTGTTGTGCCCTTGCTCAGTCATGAAAGAAGGCTGAACATTTCCTGCCTTGTCCCTGAAGTTCTTGCCCAGAACAACAGGGTCAGGACACCCGCTCTTGGGGTGTGCTTCAGTAGGCAGATAGTAGGACCATGCTGGGGAAACGTGGGGCCCACATCTAATGGCTCCCTACTGGGCTTCTCGTGAGCTTGCAGGCCTGTGGTCCTGGAATGTGGTGAGGAGGGGTCAGAGCCTGGGCAGTGGCAGAGGGGAAATCCAAGGGGAAAGGAATAGAAATGTGAGAGTGGTTCCAGAGGGGAGGGAGCCCACCATTCGGGTTGGGTCTCCAGAGTTCTCACATTCAAGCCCAAAGGAGCTTTTTGTGGTCACCTTCAGGGTCTGTAAGAGTATGTGACAATAACCAGGTAGAGAGGGACCTCGAGGGGTAAATGGCTGCTCTTCACCTAGAGAATTAACTCTCTTGGGCCTGAGGATGGGTAAGAGGTTAGGCCTGCGTGCCCCATTTGTTGGGTCCAATGACAATTATGGGAAGCTACCTCTCTACTCTCATGGTTCTCATGCCTTAGCAAACGTTAGTATCACCAAGAGCTTATTGAAATGCAGGTACCCTTGGACCCAAACTCAGAAATTCTGATTCGGGAGGTCTGGGTAGGGCCTTAAACAGTAAGCAAGTTCCCAGGCAGCGGTTGCAAGTAGGCTGTGCTGCCCACGCTGTGAGCTGAGATACTTTGGCAGGAGCGGGGCAGGCAGCAGGCACCCACCCAGCTTCGTCAATTATCAATATTTCAACTATCCTGTCTCATCCATCCTTTTCTCCTACTTTTTGTTGGTTTATGTGTTTGATTTTTTTATGGGGTATTTGGAAGCAAATCCTAGACATTTAATCATTTAACTGGCACCTATGTCAGTGTGTGTCTCTAACAGATGTCATTATCATACCTAATAAAAATAACAATTATTAGGCTGGGCACGACGGCTCACGCCCGTAATCCTAACACTCTGGGAGGCCGAGGCGGGAGGATCGCTCGAGGTCAGGAGTTCAAAACCAGCCTGAGCAAGAGTGAGACCCCGTCTCTACTATAAATAGAAAGAAATCAATTGGCCAACTAATATAGATAGAAAAAATTAGCTGGACATGGTGGCACATGCCTGTAGTCCCAGCTACTCCGGAGGCTGAGGCAGGAGGATTGCTTGAGCCCAGGAGTTTGAGGTTGCTGTGAGCTAGGCTGACGCCATGGCACTCACTCTAGCCTGGGCAACAAAGCGAGACTCTGTCTCAAAACAAAAAAAAACAAAAACCAATTATTCTTATATCTACTATCTAGTCCCTGATTATTTTCTCCCAATTTCTCAAAAATTTCTTCTTATAGTTGGTTTGTTTGAAACTTAAGTCTTTCTTACCCCATAGCATACCTCTCCCCTATTACACTCTATCACACACTCTCCCCCCCCCCCATGCCATTTACTTGTTGAAGAACTTGGGTTGTTTAATGTCTTACGGAATTTCTCACATTCTGGATTTGGTAAAGGGGTGGTGTTCAATTTCTTTCTTTATCCTCTATATTTCCTGAAAATTGGTAGTTTGATTGGAGACTTGATTAGATTTAGGATATTTTGTGTTGGTGTGTGTATATGTGTGTGTGTATAAATATTTCTGGGAGGGAGGCAAGAATCTTTCCTAGCAATAGGTGGTACTTCTTGCGTTACATCAGGAGACATATATTATCCAGTTGTTCTGCTTTGAGTGGTATTAAAATTGATCAGTGGATATGAATGTTGTCAGCCTGATTGCTCCTTTATAAAGTTCCTCATCAAGTTTTCACCCAAATGAGTTTTGCACCAGCCTGAGCAAGAGCAAGACCCTGTCTTTACTGAAAATAGAAAAATGAGCTGGGTGTGGTGGCGCATGCCTGTAGTCCCAGCTCCTCAGGAGGCTGAGGCAGGAGGATCACTTAAGCCCAGGAGTTTGAGGTTGCTGTGAGCTACAATTACACCTCTGCATTCTACCTAGGGTGACACAGTGAGACTGTGTTTCAGACCCCCCCCCCAAACCACCCAACCAAATAAAAACACTCTAGCAAACTAAGAATGGAATGGAACTTCCTTAACATGAAAAGGGGAATCTATTTCAAAAAACATGATTTTTGCAGCCATTGATGAACTTGCCTAGATCCATCACTTCTCTTGGGGTGGTGGTGTTGCAAAATAATTAATATCTAACCCCCTTGTTAAAGGAGACTTTTGAACTTGGAATTTCTGGGCCTTTTGTGCATTCCAGGGGCTATATACCTCCAAATCTTCTTCCATTCCTTCCCTCAACCCAACAAACTTACTAGCATAGAAAATAGTCCTCTTCACACCTTCTCCACTCCCAACCTAAATCTAGAAGATTGAGCCTGTGGACAGCAAATATGAATTGGGTGTCTTCTCTATGAGAACATTGGCAGTGGCAGCCTCGGCCATTTATACGTACTGTATACTTGCTACAAACCAGGTGTGCGATGGGCTCTTTCCAATAAGATCTGCCCCATAGAGAGTGATGACTCTGTGCCAGGTACTTTCTACTAGCTTCTCTAGTTCTGTATTGTCCATTATTATGGCAGCCACTGGCCCTATGTAGCCACCGAGCACTTGAAATGTGACTAGTCCAAATTGAAATGTGCCATAAATGTAAAATACACACCAGAGTTTGAAGATGTAGTTTGAAAAAGGGAATGTACAACATCTCATTCATTTTTATATTGATTAAATTTAAAAATAATAATATTTTGCATATATTAGGTTAAATAAAATATATTATTAAAATGAATTGCACTTGTCTCTTCTTAAAAAAATGTGGCCACTGGAAAATTTCAAGTGACAAATGTAACTCCTCTTGTATTTCAATTGGCCAGAACTTCTTTTGCATTCCCTTAAAATGGTATTATTACTCTCAGCGTGGTTAAGTAACTTGTTCAAGGTCACTCAACCTAGTAATGAAGAGGCCAGGATTTGAACACAGATCTGTGCTTTTTTCATTGATTCATGTCTGGCCCAGTACCCAGCATGTAGCCAAAGGCCAGCTTATTGAATGATGGGGGGGAAAAAAAAGAAAAGCTGTCAGCTTTAGGGGAGCTGGGAAAAGTCTTGAACATGGTGAGGGGGCTAGATGGGGCCTAGACTAGCTCTGGGCCCACCTGGTGCTGGCCAAGCGGCCGCTGAATGTCACTGTTGTACAGTGACATTGTGGACATGTTACCCGTGATGGGAGCCATGGAAGGACCTAGAGTCTCTCTGTGCTGGAATAAGTGTGTGAAGCTGTTTCCCTCACAGCTTCAATTAAGCTGTCTTGCCCACCCTTTGAAGTGGCATACTGCACCCTCTGAAGTGGCATATTGCAGCTGCTGCTGGCACTGGGGCACATCTACTCCCATTTTTGTTGTCAGAACTAAGAGGCAGTCTGAGGCCTGGCACCTCCGAGGGTGGTCTCTGGACTGCAGCGTTAGCATTACCTGGGAACTTGTTAGGAATGCAGGAGCCCAGACGCCACCCTAGACTGGTTAGAATTAGAGTCTACACTTTGACAAGACCCCAGGTGCTTTGTGTGCTCACTGAGGAGGCCAGGGATAAGGCATTGATTATAGGAATAGGCTCTGCCTTATTTGAATTTAGACTACGTGAGTTCAAATCCCAACTCCACTTGTGACTATGGCCAAATTGTATAAGTACTTTGGGCTTCAGTTTCTTCACTGGTAAGTTTTGGGTGCTTAATAGTGACTAGATATTTTATTAGGAGGGTGCAAAGCAAAGAGAACAACTCTTGGAGTTTTGATAATGGGTATTTCCTGAGTGGTGAGGGAAATTCAAACCCAACAACTAATAATGGTGTCTATGATGACTTTAGCCCAAGAAATAAAAACTCTTTAAAATACATGAAATTCTGATGGATCATTTGTGTAAGTATTATCAATGAATCAATCAGTAAACAATTACTGATGCACTGTGGTGTAGTCCAGTGCTTCTCAAATTTAATGTGCATATGAAACACCCAGGGAGCTTGTTAAAGTGCAAATTCTGATGCAGCAGGTCTGGCAGTGGGGACTGATCCCCTGCCTTGTTAATAAGCTCCTGATGATTCCAGGCCTACTGGTCTGAGGACCATACTTTAAATAGCAAGAGTGTAGAGCAAGCGTTCGCAATTTTTTAGTCTCAGGAATTCTTTATACTTTTAAGAATTACCGCCGGGCGTGGTGGGTCACGCCTGTAATCCTAGCACTTTGGGAGGCTGAGGCGGGCGGATTGCTCAAGGTCAGGAGTTCAAAACCAGCCTGAGCGAGACCTCGTCTCTACCAAAAATAGAAATAAATTAATTGACCAACTAAAAATATATATACAAAAAATTAGCCGGGCATGGTGGCGCATGCCTGTAGTCCTAGCTACTTGGGAGGCTGAGGCAGTAGGATCTCTGAGCCCCGGAGACTGAGGTTGCTGTGAGCCAGGCTGACGCCACGGCACTCACTCTAGCCTGGGCAACAAAGTGAGACTCTGTCAAAAAAAAAAAAAAAAAAAAAAAAAAAAAAAGAATTACTGAGAACTCCCAAAAGCTATTGTTTTAATTATAAGCAGTGATATTCCTATCACTAATGATATTTGCCAAATTAGAAATAAAAATAGAAAAAAATTTTAAACCCGAGAATATACAAGCACACAGTAATAGCATCATCACCTGTCATGTAGCTGCTGGAAAACACCATTGTACATTTGTGAGAGAATGAGAGTGAAAAAGGCAAATCAAATCTTGTGTTAGTACTATTGTGGAAATAAGTTTAGACATTGCAGACCGCCTGGAAGGGTCCCAGGGATCCTCAAGGATGCCCAGGTCACTTTTTGAGTACAACTGGTGTAGAAAAACTAGCTCTCTGCTTGAGATTGAGTCTGTCCTAGTCAAGGGTCTTTTAGCTTAAGCGAAACTGGAAAGAATTGAAAAGCTGCTGGGCCATGGCCCCACATTGGAACAATCTCTGATGATCCAAACCACAGGAAGGGTAGGGCAGTGGCAGGGATTTAGGACTGAGAAAGAGTAAGGAACCCAGGCAGCTTCTGGCCTCTACTTCTCCCTCTTTCATTTTTCTCTCTAAAGATGATTTTTCTGCTTCTCTGTGCATGCAGCCCCATAGCTCCTGAATTTATGGGCCCCCAGTTCAAATGGCCTATACTAACTATGGTCACTGTTTTCTAATTCCAAGTCCCTTGGAGGTAGAATCTGATTGGCCCAGTTTGGGTCAGGTGACTACTCCTGAGCCAGCCAATCAACTGAGGCCAGCAGGGCAGGGCATGTGGAACACTCATGGCTGCCATGGCCCAGCAAGGTGTGTATAGGAAGTGGGGTGGTACAGAGTGGACTGTGGTGGGCAGCTCTGGGAGCAGTGGGGTGGGGGGGGTTGATTTCTTTTGGCTAGTTAGCTTTAAAGTTTTCCATAACAGAGGCTAGAGACTTAGATCCTGCTCCTTCTGCTGGCCCTGTGAGGGTGGACAGGTCAGAACCTGGTTCACCAAATGCCAAATAGGGATAATAACACTACTTGGTTTAACTCATAGGGTTATTGTAGGAATTAACTGAGCTAATATAGGCAAAGGAGCTTTGCATGCTGTATGCTAAGTGTTAGGAGTTCCTAATAAAGTGTCAAATGCCATCTTTTCCCTCAAGGACCTTCGAATCAAATTGGGGAGAAGATGCTAACACCCACAATACAATGAGTAAACAGCAGACTTCTGACTGTGCACTAACCCAATGCAACAAGAGTGCAAAGGAGAGAGGGATCAACATAGGCAAGGAGGGGAAAATTATTGGGCACTTCCTGTGGACTTAGTGCTGTCCCTGCAGTTTCAAATCTTCTTAGCGCTAATCTTTTCAACAACCCTGCTATCTAGGTGTCGTCGTGCCTGTTTTACAGTTGAGGGAACTAAAGCTCAGAGAAGTAACTAGTCCAAGGTGCATAGCTGGTGTTTAAACCTACGTCCAGCTGACTTTAAAGCTGATACTTTTTTCACTCCTCAGTGTGGCACGAGGAGGATTCTTGGAGGAGTGGGGTGTTAGTGAGGGTGAAGCATGGATTGGATGTTGATGGGCAGAGGAGAGGCTGGTCCATGACAGGGATCAATTAAAAAAAGAAAAAAATGGACATAGCATGAGCATGGGGTAAACCTGATGGGATTGGTACTAGGTTGCCATTGGCTGTGCAAGTGGGTTGTACGTGGCAATGAATGAATGAATGCATCAATGAATGAATGACCATGGGCTCCTATTCTTTATCCCTTTTGTCTAAGTGGTCTGGCAGTCATGCAGGAGGGATTGGGGGGCCATGTGGAGATAGAATCCCAGCTGGTGGGTTCTTTGAGCAGTTCAGGGGTCAGTTGGTGAGCTCCTGGATTAGCGTATGGAGCAGAAAGGAAACACAAAGTCTGGGATGGCCTTTGAAGGAAGAAGCAATAGCATTTGGATACAGAGAATGAAGGAGAAGAACCAGAGATGACTGACATGTTGCCTGACTGCTGATTCATCTATTTCCAAATGTTTATTTGGTGCTTCTTATATTAATAATATGTGGCTGACCCTGTGCCAGGTTCCAAGAATAGTGGTGGCCCAAATAGACAAGGTCTCCACCCTTATGTGGGGGAGACCGAAAATCAACAAGTAAACTAACACCTGTACCATCTAATGCCAGGAAATGCTAAGTGCATGAAGCAGGGGAGGGGAAAAGAGGATGAGGGAGAGGGTATGAGTGGACATCAGTTGGTCAGGGAGGGCTCTGAGGGCGTGACATTTGAGTAGGACAATAGGATTCCAAGTTTCCAAACCCAAGATCTTCTAGGAGACCATAAGAGTGCTGCTGCCTTGGGAAGAATCCCTTGCAAGTCTCTCGAGTGCCCTGTAGCCATGATCTCTATTTTGCAGTTGAGGAAACTGAGGCCCAGGGAGTATGGGAACACATGGGTGCCCAGCGGCAGCTCTACAGAGTGGGATTAAAGCCTGGGTTTCAGCAGGGCCCTTGCCTTCCTGCTGGCAGCTCCCCCAGCAGGGCTGGTGACTTCCAGTCCCGCATGGCTCCTCCCCTTCTCCCTGGAGGTATTTTTAGCCTCACTGAGCCCCTTCCCAGGGGCTGCTGTTGCCTTGCCATTCTGCTTCACTTGCTTTCACCTGCTCCGAGGCAGCAGTGACAGGGCTGCGGGCAGCACATCAAGCTGTCCCTGGCTTCCTCGAGGGGTGTGGGGGGGAGGGCAGCTGAGGGTGACCACCCTCGGCAGCGTGGGCAGGCAGGAGGCCTGTCAGCGCCTGGGGTGACTGCCAACAGATCCCTCTTGGGGTCAGCTCTGAGTAATGAGGGCGAGGGGAGGAGGGCTGCTGGCTGTCAGCATGGGCAGGGGTGGGGTGGGAGGGAGACGGTGGGTGAGAGGGAGGGAAGGAGGGAGGAGGAATTTGTTTTGGAGAGAGACAAGCTGAGGAGGTGGCAGAGGTGGCAGCTTGGCAGGTGGTGTTGATTGTGAAGTATGTGTTTTTTGAGTATGTGAGTGTCACAGGCCTGGGATACAGGCCTTTCCACAGTGAGATCCCCGGTGAGCGTGTGCACTTGTGAGTGTGCGTGTGAGCGTGTTTGGAAGCAGCCCTGGCCCTTCCACCGTGAGGTCCCTAGGACTGTTCTTCCAGGCCAGGCCCCTGGGACTGCCCCATTTCCCCTGCAGCCCAGGCTGCTGTCGTGTCTTATTCCTCCTCTGCTGACCCCGCCTCTCTGTCCCCAAAGACCTGGGCAGGCCCTTTCCCTGGTTGGGAGTTTACTGCTACTCATTACCAAAGAATGACCTGGAGGAGGCGAGGGTGCTACACACGTGACCAGTGTGGGACTTACAAAGGTTTAAAAATAAACCTTGCTGTGTTCTTACAGCCACTGTCCTGGGGCTGTGGAGCTGCCAGCAACCTCTCTGGATAGTCTCTTTGGTTCTTGAAGGTAGAGCCCTTTCCACCCCCCACCCAGGTCACACTGACCCTTTCTGGGAGATGCACACAGAATGCTGGTGTCAGAAGTGCAGCCCAGGAGACCACGAGGGCCAAGGCCTTTGTCACTGGCTGGGGGCCCCAGGTAGACCAAATACGGGAGGCCTGAGCTGGTGGCCGCCCCCACCCAGCAGGCCAGGCATGGGGTGAGGGGCCAGGGACTCTCCTAAACCTGGGCTTGTGCCTTGGGCCCAGACACCAGGCCTGGCTGATGTTGGGACACTTGGGGGGTGGGAAATGTGGGTGCAGGAACCTGCAGTTCCACTCCTCGCCCCGCCAGGACTTGCCCCAGTGCACCCATGAGCTGGTCAGCTGTGCGGAGCAGGAGGAATCTTCCACTGTGTCAGTGAAGGTGGAAGGCTGAGGAGCTAGGGCAGCAGGTCCTGGCGGCGGTAACGTGTGTGGGAAGTTGGCAGTGGTGGGCTTTCCAGTCGGACTGTCCTGAGTTCAGGTTCTGGCTCTGCACTCAGTAACTGAATGACCTTGGCCAAGCTACTTAACCTCTCTCTGTTGCCTCAGTTCCCCGATCTATAAAAAAGGGAGCATTGTAGTAGCTCCCTACTTGTGGGGTTGTGAAGACTTAATGAGATACACAGGGGAGGAGCTGAGTGATTTGGGCTGAGTTACCTAACTTCTCTGGGCCTCAGTTTTGTTGCCTGTAAAATGGGGTTGTTGTGGGCACAAAGGTCGTGATGGGTGGCCTGGGGAGATCCGTGGGGTGCTCAGGGCCTCACAGAGTGTGCTCTTGTACCGTAGCGACGGCTGTAATAATAATCGTCCCCATACCCCCTGTCTCCCCAGGCTCGTGGCTCTGCAGGGGGCCGGAGGAGGCATGACGCCGCCTCTCAGGAAGACCATGACAAGCCTTACGTCTGCGACAGTAAGTATGGGCAGGTCCTGCCTTCCTTCCTGTGTCCGTGCCCTTGGCCCGCCCTGCCCTGCCCTGGGCTTCCTTGGTTGTCGGCTCACCAGCCCAGCACCAGGCCTGCCTTCCCTTCTTGGGCCCACACCCCAGCCTGCTGCCCGCCACCGCCACGGCAGCCCCCACTTTCTCCTGGCATGTCTGCACGGGGGAAGCCCGTCGGGGGACCCCGGGCACTGCGCTCCTCTCTCCGGCAGCGCCCTCCTGCGTGCACTCTTCCGGCGCCCTCTCTTTCACTCTGTCTCCTTTAAGATTCATTCTCTATTTCAGAGAGTTACAAACAAAAGCATAACTCAAAACCCTCCGACAAAGGTACTTGGCTCTTGTGGCTTTTCATTTGTTTCCCTTTAATTTCCTTTTTCTCTCTCTCTCCTGTCTTAGGTAGGGCAAGTTATGAATCTTCCCATGCGATGACTTATTTAATAAATGGCTCTCGATCCATCTCCAGCCTTTCTTTCTTGCTTCAGGAACATCTTTTGGATAAGCGGCTGCCTGGCTTCTGGGTGTAGGGTCTGCAGGCAGAGCTAGGGAGGCCCGAGGGACAGGAGCAGCGAGGAGCCTTGGCCACTTGAAGAGGATGTGGTTTGCTCCAGACGGATTTTGTCCTTCTTACTTGCCAGAGCGCTGGGTGGTGGATTTAAGGTCTTTGCCCGCATTGTCCTCTTGCTGTATCAGGTGCCATCTGCTCATTCCACTGCAGGGCAGCCCTCAAAACCACACTCCTGACGATCTCCCCTCCCCGTCTTCTCCTCTCTGAGGACGCAGAGCTCTGCCACTGGGGGGAAGGGGCTGCAGTGAGGGACAGCAGTGAACCCGCTAAGGCAGGACCCTGGCATGGTGTCCCTAGGGGTGCCCCCCCACCCCTTGCCGGGGTCTGCAGTCTCCGCAAAGGCAGGCCGAGAGCCGGGGAGAAGGGGCACAAGGAACACCCTGGGGGTGGTGCCTTTTTCCTCCTTCTTCAGTGGCCTCTTTTGATTTCGAAAAGTTATTCTGTGCCCAGTGGGGTGACAGCTGGTTGGAGAACATTTTGCTAGAACTCAAACTCCATGACTCTCATTTGGCTCCTTAATACATGGTGCAGATGCCATTCCTGAGACGACTCCTGCAGGTAACATCTCCACCCCAAAGCAGGTCCGGGCCAGGCTGAGGAGGGAGCAGGGCGTGGGGCCTGGTGCCTCTTGGCAACACTAGGAGGAGCCTGCTCTGGCCTGGGTCTTGCTCTCTGGTTGGGACACAGTCTTGTTCTGAGGCTTAACAGCCCAAGCGTGCTAGCCGTTGGGAGACTGGTTCCAGGCGTGGGCTGGGAAGGGTCCTCAGACCCCCACGAAGCAGGCTTTCCAGCTGTGTCTGACCGGGGCAGTCCATCTGTCAAGAATGCCAGCAGCTGCTTTGGAGCTGGAGCACTGCCGCTCTGTTCGTCTTTTTTTTTTTTTTTTTTGAGACAGAGTCTCGCTTTGTTGCCCAGGCTAGAGTGAGTGCCATGGCGTCAGCCTAGCTCACAGCAACCTCAAACTCCTGGCTCAAGCAATCCTCCTGCCTCAGCCTCCCAAGTAGCTGGGACTACAGGCATGCGCCACCATGCCCGGCTAATTTTTTGTATATATATTAGTTGGCCAATTAATTTCTTTCTATTTATAGTAGAGACGGGGTCTCGCTCTTGCTCAGGCTGGTTTTGAACTCCTGACCTCGAGCAATCCGCCCGCCTCGGCCTCCCAGAGAGCTAGGATTACAGGTGTGAGCCACTGCACCCGGCCTGTTCGTCTTTTTAAAAGCTTTATTTTCATCATGCGGTGTTCTGCTACAGTAGAGAGTGGGATGACTTTTTGCTCTATCTGTACAACTTTTATTGGCCACCCAGCCAGTAGCAATCCCATATGTTCCTGGACACACCGTGCGCCCTTTCCCCTCTGGCTTTGCCCCCCCCCCCCCACTTCCTGTCTTCCCACCTTCCCACTTCAGTCTCCTGGACTTCAGCCTCCTCGTGGGCTGTCTCCATGCAGGGCCCTTTGTGGATGTCCCTCTCTTGCCTGGTTCCTCTTTTTCTGCACAAAGCGCTTGCATCAAGCCCTCTCCTCCAAGCCCTATGGCTTTGTTATGAGCTCTCAGTGCCCTTTGCTGCTTCCTGTTGCCCTCCCCCCAGGGCCTCCTCCTTCTTCTGTTTACCTGGTAATCGCAGGCTACTGTCAGCTTTCTGGAAGTCTCTGCAGCTGCAGTCTCGGCTCTGCCCATGCTTGTGCTTCCTTGTTGGAGCGAGGGCCACCGTGGATTTACCCTTCTCTCTTCTGGCTCTCTTAGGAAATTGTGTGGCAGCTCTATGATTAATAGACTTTATTTTTATCTGGTGCCCTTCAGACATGCGATCCTTTGGGATAGAAATGACCTTTGGAGAGGTCATGAGGCCCACCCCCGCCCCTGAACTGGGCAAGGAGTGCTTTTAATAATCTCTAATGCATCCTAAGCAGAGAGGTGTTTGGCCGCCTCCTTGAGTGTCCCCAGGGGTGGTGTTACCATAAGCTGCCCTTTCTTCCATGGTGCCAGCTGCGCTTTGAACGATTGTTTTTCCTTAATAGGAGCTGAAAATTTTCTCTCCTACAGGTCCCCTTGTCTTTTGTGCATCTTTCCCCAACAAATAGGCGCATTCTCTTAACATCCCTCATATTCTTAGTTGACCTAGGGCCTCACCCGGTAATCTCTGTGGCACCCTGCTCTGGATTCCCCAGGTCTACATTTAAGCACAGCACTCCCATTGGAAGTAGCGTCAAGGCCAAGTGGCTCAAATAGCAACACATTTCTTTGTTTGTTTCATGCATCAGCTCTTAGCAGAACCCATATCTGCAGAGGGTGGAAGCCTTTGGCCATGCCATTGCGCTGTGCGCCGTCTCAGCAACCTCCAGTCAGAGCCTGTCCTGCCCGTGTCTGCCCCTCCAGGTGCACGTGCTTCTGCTTAAGCGTTTGATTATTCCTTCTTCCATAAATCACCCTGCATTTGGCCCTATTGAGTCTCAATAAACACATCCAATAATATGTGACTTCAATATACAAGATTCAATAAAGGCAAATTTAAAGACATTGCCCAGTAGTTAAATTTCACTCTCCACAGATTTGCAGTCCTGCCATTTTTGTATCATCTGTGGTTTGATTTGCATAATTCCCCCCTCTATCTTTGAAGTTATTTATGAAAATATTAGGTCACCTTGGACCCCAACACCTCTTTCTGGGTTTATGTGGAGTGGTAAGAGCAGTTTTCAGATATGGTTGTGTTTAACTCTTCCTGGCAAGAGTTTCTAAATATGGTTATCCTATTGTGCTCTTGGTCCAAGCTTCCCTTTCAAACTGGGTGCTTGAAATATTACCTTGGCTGCTAACTTCAGGTGATAGATAGTTTGGATAGTTTGCCTATTGCCTTTCACTCAACCATTGAATTAATTTTATCTCAGAGAAGTATTAAATCATCTGAATGTAATTTATTTTTTACCCAATCCATGGTGTGTATATGTATGAATACTTCATTTTCCAGCAAGTAACTAATCTCTATTAATTATCTTGAAAGTTTACCAAGCTTAAGGATTAAAGTACTGTTTCTTCCCTTTCAATCTCTTGCCTAAGGAAACGTGTTCAATTGCGCACAAACGAAGCAGCAGAACAGGACTTTGTGGGAAAGGCTGTTGTCAAATCTAGACCTGGGCCATCTGCACAGAAATACGTACTAATTTAAATGCAGATTCCTGGGCTCCACACCAGATCTTCTGTATCTGAATCACAGGAAGGGCAGGTCCAGGAGCCTGCATTTTTTGAGAGCTCAAAAAGGGATTCTTACGTGTACTGACTTTGAAGAGTGACTGGTCCATGTATCTGAACTCAAAGGTTTCTGGACTCTGACTGCCCAGCCCTTTTATTATTCCCTGCTTTTCCCATCTGGAAGTTCTTGAGTCTCCAGGAATTCTCTAGGCAGCTTGCCATTGGCTTGCATCACTGTTTTAGTTGGTCTCTTTAGAATCTTTCCTTTCCAGTTCTTTTAGCCTTGATATAAAACTCAGCGGTCCAGTATAAAACTCAGCAATGCAGCACTTGATTTTAATTTACTTAGTAACTTTAAATCCTAATAGTATCATTAGCCCCATTTTATAGGCAGTATGATAACTGGGGACAGACATGTGAAAGGAATCCTTGGGTTCAGCTACTAGAATGTTTTAAAAGTCATTTAAAGAGTTTGCCGTTTTTCTTCCTAACTACTCCCAACCCTGGGCTTTTCTGTTCCTGTCATTGGGGCAGACTCCTGATGAGAGACCCATTTTTCCATTTTCTTTGTTCAAGGAACATCATAGAGAAGAAGTTGGTGAAAAGGGGGTGATATTCAGGGAGAACATTTTGTCTCTAAGCATTAACCATTTAGGGAGGGACAGAGCAAGCCTCTGTCCTTTTGTAGGGCACAAAGGGAGTGACTTGGGAAGTTTTTTTTTTTTTTTTCCTTTCCAGTTTTTTCTAAAACATGGTAAAAATTCCTGCTAGTGGATGCTTACAGTGTGCAGAGCGCGATGCTAAGCATTTTATATAGATGGTCTCGTAGATCCCCACACTAACCTTGAGAAGCAGAGACAAGTTGACTTCTTGTTACTGTGAAGAAACTGAGGCTCAGAGAGGTGAAGGGACTTATCCAAGGTCACACAGCTGGTTAATGTCAAAGCTCGGAACTGACACACCCTAGGATATCTCCTGCACAAATTGGCTAAATGTGCCCTCCTGTCCTGGAGTTTGGTTCTCCTGAGGGCTGAGGAAAAAAAATGTTTTAAAAGTTAATCAGTGGCATGCACACCTTATTTATGAAGCAGAGCCCTGTCCACTGTCGACGGACTTCTAGGTGTCAAGGTGACAAGCTGGGGTCAGGTAGTAATTATAACTGAAGTGGAATGGAATGAACTGTGTGGTTTTGAGCCTTTTAACTGGAAATCTATTAAAAT